GGTTCACTTCAGAGGGACCTGTACAACGAAGCCGACAATGAAGCGCTTATGCGCGCAAGTTTGGACCTAGTTGAAGAATATCGCAGCAAGACTCAGCTAAAGGTAGTAGCCTATCAGCAACGAGCGAAGAGGTTCTTCGACTCTAAGGTTAGGAGAAGAGACTTCTGGGTCGGCGACCTTGTTTTGAAGGAAGTTCTTCTCGGTACCAGAGAACCAAGTGCAGAAGTCTTAGGACCAAACTAGGAAGGCCCTTACCGTATTGCCGAAGTGATAAGACCGGGGACTTATCATCTCAAAAGGCTAAATGGTTCAAAAGTACCCCGAGCTTGGAATGCTGAACATCTCCGACCATATTATCAGTAATTCTGAACTCAGTTTTTCCTTGTAAAGATTTTATTTTTCGCAATCTTTGTAAATGTAAATAACAAGTGTATTATCCTGTTCTTTTGCAATAACCCCCACATGTAATTCTGCTCGTATAGATGTATTATAACCATGTTCACATAGACTTGTTCTAATGTTATAAACGGTTAGAATACGATCTCGTAGGGTACAGATTAAGTGCTCTAGAGATTAAGATGCATTTCATTAATAAGTACAGCGAACAAGACATGATCCCAAAAACAAATTACAATTATCGATCCTGATTCTCAACTCTTGAAAGATCGACCTCGTCATCCCAAGGCTAGTCGCCATCTGCCTGGTCGGCTGTAGGTTCCTCGGGGGCGTGTCCTGAAGCATCATCCTGATCAAATCCTCAGGCAGCCTCTGCTACTTTCTCATCCTCGCGCCACGCCACACCATGGAAATGAGAGTTTCCCGCCAATCCTTCGGGAGGTCAGACATATCAATCTGCGAATTCCTCGGCCGCAAGGCATAGATGGACTCGATCGCCCATTCAGCAGCCTTTGCCTTGATCTTCTCTGCTTGGCTCTGCATCTCTTCAGTCAGCGAAGTAATTTTTCCCTGACTCACTTGGAGTTCGGCCTCAAGAGCCTTCCTTTTCTTCTCTGAGACCTCCTTTTCCTTCTCTGCTCGTAAAGCCCACTAAAAGGTCGTTTTGAGCTCCTGATCTTTCTCTCCAGCTTCCCAGGAAAGCTTGGCTATAGTTCTTTGGAGTTCCTTTATCTCCTCCCTGTGCTTCTCAAGCTCGGCCTTTTGAAAATCCACCGTGCGAAGAGCCACATCCCTTTCGTTCAGATACCAGACCACCGATTCAGTGGATAGCCTCTTTTCTGCTTTGGCAGCTTCCAGGTCCCGTTGGAGCTCCGTATTCTCTTCCTTCAGTGCGACCTCTCCCGCAGCAGCTCCTAGCCGAACCTTTTCCAGGGATAGTTGCATGGAGAGCAGAGCCTATGAACAAGAAGAATGTGAGTTTCCTACCAAGAACAAAAAGGTAGTCCTCGCTGAGGATAGTTCGTTTTACCTTGCCTATGTGCTGGATTGATATGGACATCAGGTCCACATGGACGGAACCCACGAACTCTTCAAATACTTTTGCGAGTTCGCACTCCAGTAAGGCGAAGACCGCCGACTGCAAATGATTTGGCAGTTGTCCCATCAAGTCCAACACTAGAGTATCCTCGCCAATACCCCCAGCAGGAGTGTCACCCACCGGCTCCTTACCCGACCTCTTTCCAGTGCCTCCGACCTTGCTTTGCCCTGCTCGAGATGCTCCCAAAGCAATGGGAATGCCTGGCTGCGACCTCCCAGGCTGAACGCCCAGATCCTCTGGTTCGGACTCTAACTCTTCGACCCGAATTTGCCGCCTCTTTCTGGGTCGCTGAGCCATTGTCTTTTACTTCGAACGAGTAGCTGAAGGCTAGGAAACGCTCGTAGGTTGGATCGGGGTGCCCGCCGTAGGTTGGGGAGCCTTAGGAGGATGCACATACCCTGATGTTGCCCTTTCGGTCGGGGGGCCACTAGGAGCAGCTTCGGTCGCCCTAGTGGTCCTTGACCGAGGGAAAGAAAACTGTCTTCGTCGTGGCGACCCTGGCATCTTCGGAGGCATGGTTGCTGCATATGAACGTCGTTAGTAAAAAAAAAAAAAAAAAAAAAAATAGTTCACTGCGTAATAAAAAAGGATCCAGTTAACGCAACTTACTCGATGGAGGCTCTAAGGTCGCGTCTACGTTGAAGAAGCCGTATCTCCGCAGATTCGCGGTTGTCACAAGAAGCTTTGTGTTGCGACTCGCTTCAGGCAAGAAACTGAAGGCTACGATTTTGTTCGGATTCACGAGTAGCTCCAAACTGGTCGTTTTGTTAAATGCCAAAAAAAAAAAATAATAATAAACAGTTCGTTATTAAGAAAAACAAAGTCAATGAGCTCGTTAAGGGAAAAGAACCTACTCTGGTCCTGGAAGCGGCAGAGGTCGTCGTAACAAAAAAAGAAAAACTTCGTCTCATAAGCCCTTGCGTTGCTAGGGTAACTGTGTATCCCCGCAGCGATAGTAGGTCGCCTGGACAAGTAGTAGGAGTCTTTGTCCTTGTTCTTTTTTAGGATGTACGAGCAACCAAGTTCTATTGTGGTTAGCTCGCCCAACCCGTTCTCGCGACACGTGATGTACATGGCAACCGCAATCATGTACGCATTCAACGTGAGTTGCATCGGTGCGATCCCGAAATGATCCAGGACCGACCTGACAAAAGGGTGGAAAGGGATCAACCCCCACCCTTGAAGATTTCCTCGGAGATTGCGGCCAACCCACGTGGCAGATGCTGAGCTATGCGCGTCCTATCACGGAAAACATCCTTACGGATACCGTATTGGTCTATCACCCTATCGAGCTCATCCTCAGTAAGTACTGAGAAGATCTCTTGGGTGGGACTCACAAGAACATCCTGCATGGATGAACTGGTCCCTTCCTCGGATCTGGTCGTTAAGGGTCCATCCTACTGCAGTCTGCAAAAGCGACAAGCAGGGAATCTTTTTAGCCCTCGTACACCATTTTGTACGGTGACGTGGAGGAAAGCAAACACTTCCCCTCCTAAATACCAAAAAAACCCTAACAGAATGATTCAAGCTGCCATTCATGGCTCGAACCTAACAAGAACATTTCGTCTCTGATCAACTACCGGAAAACCAATCATTTATCAACTGCTGGGAGTGAGAAATAAAAACAGAAAATGATTCTTACCTCTCAGAATATGAAGATGGATCCTTCTACTTCGAATATCAGGTACGCGCTGGCTTGGAAGGCAAAGAATTCAAGTTTACAAAAGTCTCTTGCTCTCTCTGAAAAGATGAGTATGGTGACATTGCCTGAAACGAACCTGGGTTTTATAGCAAAAGAACTGGCGCTTGGTTTTCCTGAAATCAAACAACGTTTGGGCGGCAAAATTTACCTCTCCGTTGATCGCGACCACGTGTCACAGATCCAAGGGAAAGGGTGACCGTCACACTCCAACAAAACCAAATCGTCGTCCTTCTCCATTGAAAAATCCAAACGACAGCACGATTCTCCTGCCGCATTAAATACGCCCCAATCTGTATTTAATGCTGTGATGGAGTATATCGTTTCAGCATATCACGTATTTAATGCGTATGGCTGGCATTAATTGTGCACAGGACACGTCTGTCAGAGCAGAAGGCGTTTCGTTAAATGTATCCGTTACGAAAATGCAACAGGTAATGTCTGAAGAGATCGTTACATAGAACACTCTTCATCTGGTCAGTCACAAAGCAATGTGACTCCTCTATTCTACCCCATTGGTTGCGAAACGACGTGACTCTCGACGAGTATTCAGTTCCGAAGCAACCCAATCCCTTGTCCAGAAGAGAATTCCAAGTATAATGAGGTTGTGAACTTCGGAAAATTGAAATCAAAGCACTGGTATGGTTTGAGATCAAATCGTTCATCTTTAAGCAAAGACTATCAGGTCGCACGCGCACAAGCGCAGTCTCGACCTCTTTTCATACAGGTCGGAATCACCAAAGTTTCCTCAAAGGCATCTTGTCGCGACATGAATTATAGTTTCCAAGGTCTAATCCTCACACCTTAAAAACTAGGGGACTTCTGTTATGCCTGAACAAGTTGGGCTGATGCGAGGCCTAGTCAGCGTAAAAAGTCAGAGCTTAGGTATGTTCGCAGCCAGTCAGAGGCAGCCACGTCACACAATGACAGGGGCGGCATGCTCCTGTCAGGGCAGTGGGTGCGTGTCAGACCAGCCAAGAGCTAAAGTGATTCCACGTGTCTAATCACTACACCAAATCGCGTAAATCGCTCTAGAAGGTGCGCAATGGGACATAAAGAAGGATTTGCACGGATAATCCCACCAACTCGCAGATTTAGTGATGATAACATTAATCCGTCCCACTATAAATTGAGAGCTCCTCTCTCATGTAAGGGATTAGCTAATCTCTCCAAAGATAAAATAGCATTCTATCTCTTGTATAATCATTTGTAAGTCAGGTCGCGTTCATTAATACAAAATCAGTGGACGTAGGATTTGCTTTCTTAGCATCTGAACCACTTTAAATGCCGTTCCCTATTGTTTTTACTCATTCTTTCACCTGCGTGTGTCTTCTGGGCCAGCTCAGCATTTCACACGTGTATTTGGTTGGTGCCAAAATCACGCATCAATAGGGTTTTTTCATAAAATTTTAAATTTTACCTCGTAATACTCCCCTATTCAACTATCCAATATTATTCCCAAAATCCTATCCAAAATAATAAACCAAAAGCACCCAAAACTGCTTGAAGAATCTGATCTGGCTTTGGCCAAAGGCCTCTCAAAACACTCGAAGTTTTATTGTATACGCCTTGAAGTGTTAAATGTCCTGACTGTTTAACTTCGTTGACTCTTCTTTGTTGTCAAATGCCTCTCTTACATCTTTCAAACATGTTAAAGAGGTTATTATTAATTGTTATCTAAGTTGCTTCTCAAGCTACAATGTCAGTTTTNAAACTGCTTGAAGAATCTGATCTGGCTCTGGCCAAAGGCCTCTCAAAACACTCGAAGTTTTATTCTATACGCCTTGAAGTGTTAAATGTCCCGAATGTTTAACTTCGTTGACTCTTCTTTGTTGTCAAATGCCTCTCTTACATCTTTCAAACATGTTAAAGAGGTTATTATTAATTGTTATCTAAGTTGCTTCTCAAGCTACAATGTCAGTTTTAAATACAATTGAAGAGCAAGCCGTGTTCTGATGGATAGAATTTGATCTGTAAAAAGTACTCTTTTGTCATACTTAACAGATGCACCCTTACGGAGGTACATCTTTTGTGGCTTAATAGTTTTGAAGTTGCCAGCATTTAGATCTATTTTACAACTCTTATCGTTTGGACGGTATTTTCCTGACTTTTCCCAACATGTTTTTTTTTTTCACATTCTATGATCTGAATTTGTCAGAAATCAGAAAGGAGCAGTCCATCAATATTAAGCTGAAGCATGACAAGAAATGTCAAAGAAAAGAGCTTGAGCAGCGAACCAAAGAACTGGCAGAATGTAGGACCCAGATTAATGACTTGGAAAGAAAAAGTTTAATGGATCAGATCGAAGAGGTTGCAAATGAATCATGATTTATAACAGCTTTACTCTGATTTTGAACTTAAATTTTCTCTCTAAAACTTCATATAATCAAGTTGTTTTTGTTAAGCTCACTTCACAATTGGGATCATACATGATGCAGCAAAAACTGAAGTTGCCAAGTCAAAATCCTCCAGGAGATATTGATTTAAATACTGAGAACACTGAACTGAGAAACCAGTTAAGAGGAAAACAAAGATGCGCTGCAATATTTGGAAAAGCCTGAATCATACACTTAACACTTAAAGAGTCCATCAGTAACCAAGAGCTGCAAGATGCTCACAAAGAATCAATAAGTGTATTTACCTCCTTATTTCTTCACATGGTTTAACATTGAAATTAGAAAATCTTTTTTCTACATGTTACCTTTTGCTTATCTATAATAGCTCTCCAAATTAAGCACATAAATAAAAGATGCTTAAGAGGAATGATTTCTTAACTTTGGCCACGCAGGGTTTGCGAGATATACTGAATTGTCGCTCAACATTTACAATCAAGAGAATGGGAGAGATTGATCTGAAAGCTTTTCAACACGCGTGCTCACTGAAGTTCTCTGATGGAGAACGGGAGGAGATGTCTGTTAAACTTTGTTCGTCATGGCAAGAATCTTTGAAGAATCCTCACTGGCATCCTTTCAAGTGAGTCATTATCGAAGGCAAATTGCAAGTATGTATATTGTTGATGCTCGATTTTGACACCAACTAATCGCACGTGGGAAATGCTGAGCGGACTCAGAGATCTCACGTGTATATGGGCGTATTGGGTTGAGTAAGAGATGAAAAACAATGTTTAAAGTGGTTCGAATGCTTAAATAAGCGAATCCTACGTCAACTGATATTGTATTAATATATAAGATCAAGTCGCGTTCAGCGAGCTGATTTATAGCTTGGAGAATACAAGTGAATACAAAAGAGAGAGAGAGAGAGAGAGAGAGAGAGAGAGAGAGAGAGAGAGAGAGAGAGAATGTGCTATTCCAGGGTGAAATTAGCTAATCCCACAAACGGGAGAGGAGCCCTCTATTTATAGTGGGATGAATTGAGGTAATGATTACTAAATCTGTGAGTGGGGCAGATGCTATGCAACTCCTTCTCAGAGTCCCATTGCTCACCTACTCTAGTGATTTCCTCGACTTGTGCAGGGATTGGACATGTGGACTGTTTCCAGCCTTTCGCCAATCTGGCGCATACCCACTACACTGGTAGGAGCATACCGCTCACGTCAGCATGCGACATGGCTTCGTCTGAATAAGTGTAGAACCTGCCTAAGCTCTGACCGCCCATATTGACAAGGCTCGGTGTCAGCCATACTTTTCCAAGCATAACAGAAGTCCCCTAGTTTTTAAGGTTTGAGGATCGAACCTTGAGAACTACACAATTATGCCTTGATTTGATGTGCATCGAATGGACACTGGTTGATCCGACCTGGGTGCAAAAAGGTCGCGAAAACATTTCCATGTAGGCGACCTGAAATGATCTTTTTTAAGGCTCGCGACCTGTTGTAGACATTCAGTGCCATAACGATGATTCTGGTCTCGACCGAGGTTCAAGACCTGATTACACTTAGCATATTTTTTATTGAAAACAAAGTCACGTCGCTTCGCAACTGACACGCGACGAAGAGTGTTTTACGTAACGACCTCTTCAGATATTATCTGTTACACTTTGGCAGCGGATACATTAATAAAACACATTTTGCTCTGACAGACGTGTTCTATGCGTAATAAGTGCCAGCCATGCACATTAAATGCGAGCCATGCTGAAACGACATTCCTTATCAGAACATTAAATGCGGATATGAGTGCATACATACGCATTTAATATAGAGGAGGGAAATCAGCTGTCGCTTGAGTGTTTCAACGGAAAGAAACGACGATTTGGTTTCCCAAAGCGTGACGATCACTCTTCCTCGCTGATCAGCAACATGTGGTCGCGATCAACGGTGAGATGTGATTTCCGCTCAAACTTCGATTGACTTCGGGAAAGCCAAACGCCATTTCCTTCACTATAAAACCCTAGGCTCACCTCAGGTAATGTCACAATATTCACTTCTTTAGAGAGAGCAAGAAACTTTCGTGAGCCTTGATTTTCCATCTTTCAGACTGGTGCGCGCGCTTGACACTCAGAGCAGGACGATCAATCTTCATACCCAAGAGGTAAGGATGGTTCCTCTGTCACTTTGTCTTTTCTGTTTTTGATAATTGCCATGCGATGACAGTAAGTGTTTGCCGGTAGCCGATCGGAGAATAAACTTTCTCTTAGGGTTTGAGCCATTGGGGGTGGCTCCTAAAGATTCTTTTAGGGTTTTTCTAGGGTTTAAGGGAGAAAGCATTTACTTTTTCCTCCACGTCATTGTACGAAATAGTGTACGACGACTGAGTGATTCCTGCATGTTGTTTTTTTCAGACCGCGAAAGAATGGACCGTTCAGCGACCAGGACAGATGAGGGAACCAGCTCGCCGATGCAGGACGCTCTAGTAGGTCCCTCTCAGGAGATTTTATCGATAGTTACTGCCGAGGAGATTCAGAAGGTGGTGGACCAATACGCACTTAGCGTAGAGGTATACCAACATAGGACGTACACAGCTCGAAATCCGCCAGAAGGGATGGCTATGATCTCCGAGAACATTTTTAAGAGTGGAGCGCTGATACCTTTCCACCTTTTCATTAGGTCGGTCCTCAATCACTTTGGGGTCGCATCGTTACAGCTTACGTCGAATGCGTATATGATAGTTGTGTCTCTGTATATCGCATGCGGCGAGAACGGTTTGCGCGGGCTAACTGCGCTAGAGCTCGGTTGCTCGTATTATCTGAAGAAGAGTAAGGACAAGGATTCCTTCTACCTCTCGAAGCGATCTACGATCGAAGCGGGAATACACAATTACCCCAGTAATGTCAGGGCGTACGAGACAAAGCTCTTCTTCTTTCAATATGATGGCATTTGCCAATTTAGGGAGCCGAGTAGGTTTTACTTTCTGTGACTTGGCAAATCTTACTTCCTTTAATTTTTGCTAACGAGCTCTTTGTTTCTTCACAGTTAACAAGACGACCAGGTAATCGGCTCTCAAGGATCCTGACAGAATCATTGTATTCGGCCTTTTCCCCGAAGAAAGTCGCGACGCGAGACTGCTCATGACAACCTTGAACTTGCAGAGATATGGTTTCTTCAATCCCGAAACGACCTTAGAGACCATACCGAGTAAGCACCATAACCTTAACTTGTTTTGTTATTTGCGTGCAGCGAACGGTTTAGCTAACGATGTTCGCATGCAACGACCATGCCTCCTAAAGTGCCCAGGTCGCTACGACCAAGGCAGTTCAACTTCCCCCGAGGTCGAGTCATCGGACCAGCCAGGGTAACTTCCAGCAGTCCCCTCGTCGGAGGGACTCCGACGGGTGCATCAGTTTGACCTATAGGTGCTTCTCAACCTACGGCTGCTCACGCCAAACAGAAGGCAATGGCCTAGAAGTCTAAGAAGAGAAAGCAGCTTTAGGCCGGGGAGTTTGAATCCGAGCCGGAGGGTCTAGACATTCAGCTCGAGAGGTTGCAGCCTTACCAGGCATTCCGCTCGGGAGGACCTCCTAGGGGCGCGATTGGTGTTACCATCACTCCGGAGGGTCCGCGAACGAGGCAAAGGGAGGCTACCGATCCTGGGAGGAGACCGGGCAAGGAACCAGCAAGCAAGACGCTACCTGCTGCGGGTACGGTCACAACCATGCTGGACTCTATGGGGTAACTTTTGGATCATTTGCAGCCGGTGGTTTTCAACATTCTAGAGTGCCAGCTCGCGGAAGTGTTCGAGCAGTTCGTGGCTGCTAACCACATGGATCTGATGTCCACATCCTTTCAGCACCTGAGCCAGGTAAAACGAACTGTCCTTAGCGGGGGCTTTTTTGCATTTCCTTGCTTTTTTTTTTTTTCAATAGAAAGGAAATTAACTCTTTACTCTCTTTGTTATATAGGCCTTGCTTGCCCTACACTTGTCCCTGCAGAAGGTTCAGCTGGGGGCTGCAGAAGGTTCAGCTGGGGGCTGCTGAGGGGCTGGTCGAGCTGAGAGAAAAGAATGTGCGGCTTAAACGGGACTTAGAAGCCGTACAAGCAGAGAAGGACCTATCCACCGTTCAGGCAAATCAGTACCTATCTGAGAGGAACGCTGCATTTCGCTTGGTGGATTTTCAAAAGGCCGAGCTAGAGAAGTGAGGAGAGGAAGTAAAGGAACTCCAAAGGACAGTGGCCAAACTCACTAAGGAGGCTAGCGAGAAAGAGCTGGAGCTACGAACGACCTCCGAGCGAGCCTTGCGAGCAGAACAGGAAAGGGCGCAGCTGTGGGAGATCACCGAGAAGCAGAGGTGGGCGCTTGAGGTCGAACTCCAATTCGCCTAGTGACAGGCTATTCGCAAGTGTACGAAATCGCGCAAGTAATAAAACTCGAGTAAACGAGTGTCGAATCCCAAGCTAACTACCTACCAAGTACCAAACTAGTCTATTTTATTGCTATTTGATGAAACAGAATTTTAAGAATGAATTTAATGAAAAAGAAAACAAACTAAAAACTAAACAAAAGCAGAATTTTATTAATACTTTGGTAAACAAATCAATATGACTAAACCTAGGGCACAGATTTCACACCAATTTAATCATATGCATTGACAATTATTGCTAACCTAATTAAGCTTATTCTAAAGGCCAAACTCCCTGATATTCCACTAACTTTCTCTTGAACAAGTAGTGAATTAACCCTTAAGCAACAACCCAAAATATCTCTAAGTTGGATTTAGGAGCTAAGAGATCATTAAGTTCTATGGAATTTACCAGAGCCTCATAGATCGCGGTAACCTATCTCTAGCGTTCGCTCAATCTATGGTTTTATTACTTTAGACAAATCATGTCTCATCTCTTGATCTCAACCCAACCCATGATATCATTCGACTTTTGGATCCTTAAGAATTGAAAGCATTACACACAATAATAAAACTTAGAATTAATGCTCAATAAGAATTAACAACAATAAAGTCAACACATATTCATAAATTGGGCTACATCTTTAGCCCTAGAAAGGGATTTAGTTCATAATTGCAGTAATAAAAACAACCATTGTATTCAATAACATGATTTCAAGAAAGAAAAATAGAAAAACTTCTCTAATTGGTGAACGAGAACTGCAAGAATTCCGATCTCCAAAATAGTAGTCGTCCTTTCTCCTTCTCCAATCTCCACAAAAACTACTTAAAGACCCTTATTTATAGTGCTAGGGTTTTGAGGTTACTTAGGAAAGAATTAAATGTCTTAACCCATTGAGATTCAGACTAGGAGAATGCAATAACCCAAACAGGCCCGTGACCCATCGCTGCGGCGATAAGCAATCGTCGTTGTGGCGATCGTTCTTTCTATCCCACGAGTCCTTGATCTTCATAATTTGGTAAATTCATCAACATAAACTTTGTATCTCTCTGAATAAGCTTTCCAACGCCACAAGAATCGTCGAATGTTGATTTCTATAGCTCAAGTTATGATCGAAACATCGAAGCATGCTCATCTTGAAGGATTTCCAGATTTTACGTTGTATCTTCGACGCATCACAACTTTCTCGCTTCAACTCCAATTCTTGCACCGTTTGTTCATACTTGTCACAAATTCCATCGACATCATTATTTTTCCTTCA